CCATCTGCCGGGTAGGTAGGTGTCTGGTGGAAAAAAGACACCCAGGCTCAAAAAACGTATCTCCATCTCAGGCATCTGTAACAGAAAAGAGAGTCCCCTCAACAAGCTCTGGTCCCTCAATACTAGGGAGTACTGTTATTGTTGATGTTAAAGTGCCATTGAGTCGGTTTTGCCTCAAGTGATGCTGTATAGGGTTTCCAAAGAGCGGCTGGTGAGCTTGAACTGCTGACCTTGTGGTTCAAACCAACTTGGCAGTCCAGCGCATTAATCGACAGTGCCATACCAGGACTCCCCACCTACTACTGCTGCGTTAACTCTATCACGTAACGACCCTGTAGGACACAATGGAAGTGCCCCCTCAGGTCTCCAGGCTGGCAGACTTTACGGGAGCAGACTGCCACAGGTTTCTCCCATGGAGCGGCTGACTGCTTTAGCAGCTGTGCCACCAGGACCCTTAGACAGTATTAGGTGCTGTCAGGTTGGTTCCAACTCCTAGCACAGCGGTCCTGCGCTGGCCTCACAATTGCTGTGGGAGCCCACTGTTTTTGCCACTGGGTCAGCCCTTTTCCTTAGGGGTCTTCCTCTTTTCACTGACCCTCCACTTTACTAAGCATGATGTCTTTCTCCAGGGACTGGTTCCTCCTGACCAGTCTCGACATCATCCTGGCTTCTAAGGAGCATTCTGGCTGCACTTCTTCCATAGCAGATTGGTTTCTCCTTCGGGTACTTTGAACATTCTTCTCCAACATCATAACTCAAATGCACGGATTCTTCTGAGTCTTTCTTATTCATCATCTCACTTCCTATGAGAAAGGTCAACTTCGGTTTCTCACCCGTAACACTCATCAGTTTCAATGCAAGATGTTAATAAGAGGAAATTGGGACGGGGAGAGAGAGTAGATCGGAATTCTCGACTTTTTGCACTATTTTTCTATACACCTAAAGTTGCTCTGGACTCCAGGTGGGGCGCTGTAGGATCAGCACTGGACTGAGAACCACAAGGTCGGCGGTTCAGAGCCACCAAGCCGCTCCTCAGAAAACCTATACAGGGTCACTATGAGTCAGAACCGACTTGAAGGCTCTTAACAACAAAAGTTGCTCTAAAAAAAGAAAGTTTATTAAGAAAGAAAACAGAAGGCGCTTTCTAAATGAAGTTGTAAAACAAAAATGGTTAAAGGCACAATCCCAGAAATAGGGGATCCCACACAAGAGGTCCTACAGAAGTTTAGATGACAGTGGGGGGCACCCTCCACATCAAGGCAGGGGAGGGAACTCCAGGAGAAGAAATCCAATGATTCAAAGAGCTGGCTGGTGGCAGATAGAGGAGTGAAATCACAAGATCCACGCAGAACTCAGAAAAGGCAGATTAACTCCAGAAAGCACACATTTGTGTGAGAAAACGAGGAATCGTGATAAACATCTAAGAACTATAATACAAGAGAAAAGGCATTCAGTTGGAAGCTCATCCGAATGAAAAACTTAATCTTTAAGAAATACTGTTACAAAACAAACGGCAGAGCAAACTGAGGAGAACTATGTGTATAACTATGTGTATAACTATGTGTATAACAAATACCCAGCCAAGGACCTGTATCCAGAGGCTAGCGAGCAAGAGGGCTTCCCACTCATGAGTGACAAGACAAGCAACCGAACAGAAAAGGGGTGGGGCAAAAGATTTGAAAAGACATCTCACTCAAGAAAACATACCATCGGCCAGTAAGCTATTCATGATTAATTAAGAAAATGTAAGTGTACAACAGCCCCAAACTGGAAACACCCAAATACCCATCCACAGAGAACTGAATGAACAAATCCCACTGTAGTCACACGCCGGCATACAAAAAGCCAATAAAAACTGGCCCACGCTACCTTGTGGACACGTCTCAAAATCGTTACTGCAGGGAAGAAACCACACGGAGAAAAGCGTGTATCCTGTATGACCCGACTGATAGAAAACATGTGGAATTACAGTGACAGAAAGCAGACTGGCGGTTGCTTGGGAATAGGAGGGGGCTGTTGGGGGTCAGGGGAACTGAGATGACGGAGAGGTCTCTGATGTCCACATGGATGGTGGGCTCACTCTGTGCACTGTAATCATGGTCAGCTGACTGGATGTTGGTCCCAACTCACTCCAGGTGTCCTAACTGTGGCTGAGATTTACACGGTCACCATATAAACATCACACATGGAGTCCATCAAAAACTGACACCTTCTATTGGACAGGACCAGGGAGCTATATAAAAAAGGTCATCTGCCAACTAGGTTCAAATCTTCCCTAACGAGAATCATTAGATCATGTCTAGAATCAAAAAAAGAGAGAAAAAAAACCTGTTTTTCAGACACATGGAAACAAGTTCCAAGAAAAGTCTTATGAGCTAATGACAGTGAAGTGGGGGTGGGAGGGTGAGGGGGGTGTTGCTTTAATGAAAATCAACTTCTCCGTCGGACCCAGCAATTCCGAGTCCAGGAGGAATGAAAACGTGTGTCCACTCAGAAAAGCACATTTGCCCATGTCCACTGACGCATTCCTCACAATGGCTGAAAGCTGTGGACAACCAAGTGTCCCCCTGGTGTCTGCTCGATGTGGATGAACCCCAAACACATGGTGGCGGGCAGGTGAAGCAGTCAGTCACAGAAGGCCCCATATTACGGGCTCCAATTCAGATGAACATCCAGAAGAGACAAACCCACTGAGGCTGTAAGTAGATTTTAGCCTGCTGGGGTGAGGGGGCACAGAGGTGACAGCCAAGCTGTGAAGGGCTGATGAAAACGTTCCCGAATTGGCCGTGATGATGGCTGCACAGTTCTGTAACCACGTGAACCACCGCTGGTTCTGCACTGTGAGTGAATTACTGTACTGTCTGTGAATTCTACGTCAATAAAGTTGTTACCAAAACAAACAAAGTGTCAGTTCCCAGAGCAGGTCTGCAACACACACAGGGATTCATACCCATCACGTGACAGCTTCCACTCCCCAATAAAGCTCACAGTAGCTTGTTGTGGTTATGAAGTGCCATCGAGTCAGTTCCAACTCAAAGTGACCCTGTATAGGGTTTCTGAGGAGTGGCTGGTGGATCTGAATGAACTATGGACCTTGTGGTCAACAATGCAATGCTTCTCCTACAGCACCTCCAGGACTCCTGCAGGAGACCAGAGCCCCTGATTAAAGTAGGACCCTACCAGCACTGGGGGAATGAAGCTACCTCTCCCCCACAGTGCCTGCCCGTGCTAACACCAACACATGAGGCGGGCGGCAAGAGCCCTTCATCCTGCTCGCAACCAGCAAGAACTCTGCCAACAGTTAAGTCCTGGACAACCCCCCCGCAAGCCCCACTGTGGTGCCACAGGGAAATGTGATGCGTCCCGGGCACAGGGTCCCCACACAGTGGCGGGAAAGGCTCGCTGGGTCCTCTAGCACATGTGTGATTGACCACGATAGCCCCCACCACCACCACCACCACCAGGCAAGTCAGCACGTGTGCAAACACACCGGGGCTCACACACAACAAAGTCAGGGGCAGTGGGACACCTCCCCAAACACCGCACACCCAGGCAGCCCGGGGGCCCAGGCAGGATCCAGCGTCCTACAGCAGTGTCTTCTCACTGCAGTGAGGCCTCTCTCCGCCCAGACATCACCGAGCCAGGCCAGGTGTGTGGACCTGGCCACAGCTGGGTGCTGTAACCCGGCTGTGTTCCCACGGGGCGGACACAAGGCAAAGCAGTTTCCTCGGCATCACTGGAGACAAGAACACCATACCACTTTGCTACCACCTGCGCCCCGCCTGAGTGGCCTCTCCCACAGCTCTGCCCCTCACCTGCCCAGCTACCTCCTCAGCACAGAGTTCTGCAGGAGTGGGGATGATAGGACAAAGCACATGCCCCTGGGTTGCCGAGGTCAAGACACCTGGCTAGTTATGGCCAATTATAGGCGTGAAGCCACCTGCAGAGCCCCAGTCTCCAGGTCAGATTTGGCATTCGGGCTGTTGTGGGCAGGACAGAGGAAGGTGGGCAGGCAGAGCTGCATGGACAGGGCTCTCCCAAAGTAAGACCTGCTACCCAGGACCGATTGTCCTCTAGGGGAGCGGCCAGCCACTCACAAGCAAGCACAACTATCAGAGGGGCAGAGGCTGGGAAGGACCACCTCCTCTCCTCACACCCACCAGAGCAATCAGTGCCACAGCCAGTGTCTGAAACCACGGGACCCCCAGGAAAGCTGGCTGCAGGCTGACCCAGTCGTCAGGGCCCAGATGCAGAGAGTAGGCCCTTAACCAGCAGAGGGAAGGCTTGTCAGCCTACGGGGGTCTCTGTCCACAGCCCACCCAGAAGTCAAGACCAGAGCACTGGCCAGGTCAGGTCACCGGGTCCTCTCCAAGGCCGTGAGTCCTGCCAGCCAGCCTGGGACAGCACCAGGCCCTGCTCGTGCCACTGTCCCCTCACTGACCACAAACATGGACCCAACATAAAGCCACTCGACAGCTCTGTGAGCCTGACACCAGGTTTCACTGACGGAGAATGGAAGACGAGCCCGTCACAGAAAGCTTGCCGCAAGTTGAAGAAGTATAAATCAAAGTAAAATGCACCGTGAAGCCCACCCCCAGGACGACCCCCACTGTAGTCAGCAACACAGAAATGTGTCCACTGCTTCTTGTCCATTTGATACTGGGGCTATTTCCATACGCCATTAGCGAGTTGTGGGGAGCCCCACCGTCTGAGCTGCTGACACCAATCCCAACCTAAGTGTCACCCCAATCACCTTCAGACGTAGACCTTCCCGCATCTTCTTGCCTCCAAACTGCAACCCCCCCACACGGGGAGCTGTCGAGTGCAGCCCCAGTGTCCACTAGACCTGAGGGTGGTCATCATTTCTCATAACTGAATCGTTTATGAGGGAACACCTGGCTCCAAGTCAGAGAGGAACAGACGTGGGACAAGAAGCCAGCCCACAGGAGGTCCCAGACATCCAAGGCACCTGGGTGCTTACGCATGTCCGCGGGCCTTACCGAGTTCTTTGGAACCTTGGCTCTCACTGGCCAGCTCCCCCATCTTCACAAGGGCATCAAAATAGCCTTTGGCCGCGTACGTCACACCTGGGAGAGAGCAGAAAGAGCCGTTATTTCTTTCCTGAAGACTTGTGGACCCACTGCAAAGACGTAGCCACCCTGAATCCATCAGCCCGACCCTCAACCTCAACACACACACACACACTCCCAGATTCACCAGGGCCTATGACAGTCCTGAAGTGTAATTCCAATCACGAGAGCTCCTGTCACACATGAGGACATGATGTTCCTTTCAGCCAGAGCGCCTCATGTCAGATTGCTCCCAATCATGTTATTTGGCAAGGAAAGGGGCGACAAGTGTGGCCCCCGAGACACAGAACGCACGGTTCAGCCAAAAAATATCCATGCTCACCTCGAGACAGGGGCCCCCATGCATGAGAGCGAATTGGAGCTCTTGGTCTCCTGGTCTCAGAACAAGACTTACTCCTGGGAGCAGGTTGGCTAACGTGAGGACTGGCATCCAAAACACACACAGAACTAATAAAGTGCTACAATGAAAAAACAAACACCACAATTACAAAACGGGCCGTAGATCTGAGCAGACACCTCACCACAGAAGTTATGTAGGTAAGAAATGAACAGATGAAAAGATGCCCAACATCATACATCATCAGGGAAGAAGAAATTAAAACAAAAAACAAAAACAGAAAAAAAACACCCACTGTGATTTCACTCCACACCCACTAGAATGGCTAGAAGCCACCAGACTGACATCATCAAGTGTTGGTAAGGACAGGAGCCACAGGAACTCTTGCTCATTGCTGGTGGGAAGGCAGAATCATGCACCCATGTGGGCAGCCTGAGGCGGCTTGTGTAGTTAAACACAGGCTTGCTACTCGATCCAGCAACCATGCTCCCAAGTACTTATCCAAATGAGACGAAAACTTATGTCCACACAGAAGCCTGCACATGAATGCCTGGAATAACTCTTTTCAGAATTGCCCAATCACGGAAAGCAACTAAGCTCCCCATGAATAAGTGAATGGATAAACAAACTCTAGTACACCTCCACAATGGGAGTATTATGGTGCCTGCTGGCTGTGAAGTCGGTTCCGACTCACAGTGATCCCACATAGGGTTTCCGAAGCCTCATCGTCTTTCTGTAGAACAGCTGGTAGATTTGAACTATCAACCTTGCAGTCAGCAGACCAGCTCGTAACTTACTACACCAGCAGAGCTCCGTATAGAGTATTACGTTCCGGGACAAACAGAGAGACACTACCAAGCCATAGAAAACACGGAGGAACCTTAGCTGCATATCGCTGAGCCAAAAAGAAGGGAGTCTGAAAAGGCTACGTACTGTATGATTCCAATCGTATGCCGTTCCGGAAAAGGCAAAGAAAAGATCAGTGAAGAAAGGCGCTCAGGGAAGGGGAAAGGAGGAACAAGTGGTGCCTGGGGAATTTTCACGGCAGCTAGGCCGCTGTCATGGTGGGCACGTGCCATCAGGACCGCACAACACAGAGCGGGAAGCCTGAGGCAGACTGTGGACTCCAGTTAGTAACAATGGATCTCTGTTGCTTCACCAGCTGCAACAATGTATCACAGGACTGCAAGATGTTCTAAGAGGAGAAACAGTGTGTGCACAGGAGAGGGGGTGTATGGGAACACTTTGTATTTCCTGCACAATCTTTCTGTAAACTGCTTTGAAAACAAAAGTCTATTAAAATTCAAACCAACAAAAGGTAGGCTGTGGTCGTCGCTGGATGTCACAGGCCACCAGATGAGCATCACAACAACACCTTGGATGGCAGAGCACAAGGTCAGCGTTGGCTCAGGCCTCCTCCTCAGAGACTTCTGGAGGGCCAGGTCACATGTGCTCAGATGAGGATGAGACAGTGGAGCAGAATGCTCTGTCTCTAACCTGTTCTCCACAGACCCAGGAAGGGGCTGCTAACAGGACCCAACTTGTTCTGCAGCGCGGGATGGTGCTGACGTCTCACCCAGGGACACAAGTGCTTCCGGTGCCTGAGGGAGTGGATGGTGAGAGGAAGTGAGAAGTCAGCTGCCTGTCCCCTGGGCGGTCAGGAGAGATCTCAAAACAGGACGGGGAGAGACCTCCTACTTCTCCAGAGGAGCCTCCTGGGAAATCCAGGAGCGAAGCAGAAAGAAACCCCTGCCTTGGCATCAAGAAGCCAATGTGCACAAACCAAACCCCAACTTGGACATCAGGGGCATCCTGTGGCCTCAAGTCTTGGCGTTATAGCAAAAAGAACTGTCTTGGTGGCTGAGGACAGGTGTGGCTGGCCTTCCGGTGGCTGGAGGCTGAAGTATGTTCAGAGTGACCAGCCTAAGTGCCATGTGTTCACTCGAGGAAGGCTCTAAGGGAGAGTCCTTTCTGGTCTCTGCAGCTTCTGGTGGCCCCAGGTGATGCTCAGCTCATAACTGTTTGTCTCGCTGTGCCTTTTCTCGTATAAGAATTAAAACTTACAGTTCTCCAGTGTAAGCACAGGATAAGTGATCATATCTGCAGAGACCCTATTTCCAAACAAGGTTATTAGGTCCTCAGTACGTCTTTGCGGAGGGTCTTCATTATATCCCTGAATGTACAACAGCTGGGAATGAAATGGTATCACTCTGAGGAAGAGGCACGTGTAGGGTGGGCAGGACTCCTGGATGGTGTACATCCTGCAAAGGCGCTGTCAACGGTGACACAACGGGGCAACCGAAACTCGTGAGGCCAATGCCCCTCTCTGGGTGAGCCAGCTCTGCACCGCTGATTCAAGTTCATAACTTCTGTCTCCACCATGTGCACCAGAAAAACCTGACAAGGCCAGGAAGCAATGGGAAGGAAACAGGCCACGTTCCACGGGAGCAAGACCTGCCAGGCTTGGAGGAGCAGCCTGTTGTATGCTTCTACCTGATTGGTTTTCCTTAGTAGCCTGTTGTAAGCTTCTAACTGACTGGTTTTCCTTCCCCAAGCACAGCTTAAATCAAAACCCAAAGCAGTTACCGTCAAATCGATTCCAACTCATGCTGACCACATACGCGCTCCCTGTGCCTTTCTTTCAAGATGCCTCTGGGTGGATTCGAACCTCCAACCTTTCTGTTAGCAGCCGAGTGTGTTTACTGCACCACCCAAAGTCTCCTAGGACAGGCTGGTACCAACCACCTAACTCAAGTTCAATCTAGCTCCAAAGGTCCTAGATGCTATGGACAAGGATCAGAGCCAGAATAATGGGCTTGTCACCCCAACTGCCAAGGGTGTGGCCCCCACTGTGACCACAGCAGCAGGGCTCCCAAGCTCGCAACCACACTGCTGTGTGGTGCCCACACCTCTTCTGCTCAGCGCTGCTGTCAGATTTGTTCCCAGAACAAAAGACCTCCTTACAGCCCAGCCCCCCGGGTCTGCAGCCAAGTCCATCTGCCACTGAGCCTGTGTATAACCTGAGAACGACCCTCCCCTAACCCCATGAGGCCCGGTGAGGCCTTACCTGCTAAGGCCTTCTCGTAGTTCTTCCCCATGGCGATGAAGTTCCGGAGGCTGGGGTTGAACTGCTCCATGATGGTCTGAGGGGAGACACAGAGAGGAGCAGTCAGAATCTGCCAACTACCCTAAGGTCATCGGAGGGTCCATGGGGTGACAGGAAACCCAAACACTCCTCAGCTCTGCCCTTACTGAGCCTCAGTGTTCACATCCGCACGATGGGACACAACAGGCTGGACCCACAGGGAAGTCCAAGGATGAACAAGCAGACACACATCAGGCACGTAGGGCAGTGCCTGTCACCGCACTGTCAGATGACCCAGGGCTACCCGATGCCCCCTTCCCAGTTGCCAAGCCCTGGCTGTTATTAGCGAGACCAGTAGCCTGTTTGCAAACACCAGCTCTGGGCAACCTGGCACCCAGTGCCAAGACTAGTAGCTGAGGAAGAGATCAGGCTGCCGTGGTGAAAGCCAGGTACACACTTCACTGCAAGGTGCCAGAACAGGGGAGAGCCACAGCAACCAGGTGAGAATTCTGCCGAAGGGATAGGTGCATCTGTCAATGGAAAACTTGGGGAGAAACAAAGGAGACCACATCCAAAATCCCCAGCGATGAGGGAGGGGCCTGAGGGACATCTGACTGACACCCTCTCCCTGCTCCTCACCCTCAGCCCAAGGCACCTACACAACAGGTGACAGGAAACCCAGGACTTAGCTCCAGAGCCTGCCTACAGAGCCCCTGTTCTGATGTCACTCAGGCTCAGGCCCAGGGGAGAGCCACTGGCCCCACCTGAAGGAGGCCAGCCTCAAGACTTCGCCCCCTTGAGACAGCTCCTCCACAGTCTGGAGACACCGCCCACAGTCCTCCCTGCTCCAGGCTGGGCACCTGGGTGAGGTGAAGTTCCACCTTTGCTCCAGGCAGGGTCAGACCTAAGACAGGCACCTGGATACAGTGTGAGCAAACCAGATGAAGGCCATGTCTAGAGTCTAAGGTGCCTAGGACCAGGGCAGGGGCATCATACAGGAATGGGAGAAGGCCAGGAGGTTGCCGGTGGAGAGGAGCAGATGGCCCCAAGCTGGAGGAGCTCACAGCAGTGTCGCCAAGACACCCTTCAGAGCCATGTATGTGGTCACGAGGTAGGAGAAATGCAGCGGACGTGCAGTGTCTGAAGGAATCCAAGGAGGAGCAGGACAAGCGCAGTGAGAGCAGGGTGGCTCCCAATTCTGTGTGTGTGAGTGTGTGAATTCATGTACATGAATGGGCACAGGTGTACATATGTGTTTCCAGGCATGCATTCACACATGTGTGCATGTGTGTGTGCGTGATTGCCTCTCTGTGCACTGGTATATTTCACACGTTTATACATCGGTGTGCACATGTACATATGGGTCACATTGTATGAATATACAAATTTATCTGTATATATATATATATATATATATATATGTTCAAATGTATGTACATGTATGGATTTGTGGGAGGGATGTGTGTGCACATGTAGATGTCTATGTGAGTGTATGTACGTACATGTGAGTGAGTGCATGAATGTGTGTGAATCCTGAGCTGTACCATGCATGCTCTTCTTGTGGTGAGGTGGGTACACAAGTCTGCGAGCCCACCTGGAACATGTCTGTAGAGAAGAGAGAGTGCTGAGGAAGCACTGAAGCCGGCTGCTAGCTGCCCCCTCCTGGCCCCAGACCTCTCCTCTGAGCCTCAGTGGTACTTAGAGGGACGGCAGAAGCATGTGGGGGCTGCTGGGGATCAGGTGGGTGGGTCACACATAGCACAGCCTGGTCCGGCCTCCTCAGCCCAGCTGCACATGCTCAGACACAGGGATGTAGTGAGGAAGG